GGAGCAAGCTTCAAAGTGAATGGCAAAGCCGCCTTTTCCCCTGCTCGCTTTGCTGTTCATGCATGTCATTCCAGTGCCAGCCCCCTCCCCCCTTTCCCCTCCATCTCTCTCTATCCTCATCTTTCTTTCCTCTCTCAACCTTCCTCCATTTCCTCTCACTACTGTACACCAAGTCACTTTTTGAGATGATAACCCCTGACTTTGTCACGGCCACCTTGACCAAAAAACGAGGTGGCAGTGACTGGTTGAATATGATGACCGCGCACTTTCTTGAAGCAGAGACCCTCTTAAAAGAAGTGGGTCTCATTACGTGTGCCTCTTCCCCCTGTCTGCCCTTGTTGTATCACATACAGAGTGATGCAGGGATGAGTGGGGTGGTCCTTCTCTTTGATTACCTGTCAGTGAGCCTGAGCATCAGAGGCAGACGAGGTAAAAGCTATTCCTAAATCATCTCCCTTTAAACACATACCCTGGCTCAAAAGGTGGAGAAAGTCATACCGGTGATTTAACACAACTGCTCGGGATGGCCTAGATACTGGATGTGTTATGAGTACTGACACACACACACACACACACACACACACACAGAATCTGACAGTAAGCATAACGTTGATCCCAGGCCAGAGAGAGACGAAGCATCTGATGCTCCTGCTGTGGGTGGACCTTATGGACCTGACACACCAAACAATAAAAGTGCTGACAAAACCCTCTGATGCGTCGCCTCACATCACATCACCTCAACTCTTCTAAGCAGCACTAAAACCCACGACGNTCTGTTAGGAGGCTGGGAGTGTGTGTGAGATCCTATTGGCTGCAGGCTGTGGTCAGGGACAAACAGCAGGATTGAGGCTGTGTGTGTGTGTGTCATGTGTTCATGATTTAATAAATGCCCACACCGGGTTGTATTTTGGACGTTCTGCCTCTGCCTCCTTGCTTGGTCGGGCCGCTCAATTGTCAGCTTCACAGGGACCTATTTTATTATCTTCTGCCGTTCCAAAGTCATGTCGAACTTTAATCTTGGACGGCGGAGGGTGACATTATCTTGGCCTCCTGATTTCCCCGGAGCCTGACACACAATTATAATCAGCTAGAGCAGCGAGTCACTACCATCAGGAAAACTCCAGTTTAGCTGACCCTCCTGTTTCTACTCCGCTACACACTCAGACGGGGGAGGATTTTCTTTCACAAACCGCCGTGTAATTTCAAAAATACATGGTTGTCGGTTTTAAAAAAAAGCTGACGCAGTGGAGCCATTCAGAGAAAAGCTCGTCTCCAGACTCACTTCCTGTCTGGTGATGTCACTGTGACCTCAGTAGTAACCAGGCAGCTCAAATCACTGTCTGACGATTTTTGTCACTTCAAATGCACTGAATCGTCCTGAAAGTTTAAAGTTATCTTGCCGTGGGTGTTATTTTCAAATAAGGCCTTTGAATCTTTGGATCAGTTTTTTGTAAATGTGTTGTTTTTAATAAAAGGACAGTTTAGTTTTTTCTGATGCAACATTTCCACAGTTACGGTTCCTCATAACTATTTGTTCTTCCAGTTGTTTTCATATTATGTTGTTATCAAATTTGATTAAGTCTTAGCTTATTGGAAGCAACAAAAATAAGTGAAGTGAGGTCTTAAACGGACACCATGATGATATACAAGCAAAGCAGCCATCAATCAATAACGTAGAAGTCATTTCCGTTTTTTGTGAGTTTGTTGTACAATCAGGTCAGTGACATTACGATGACATCATCAGTAACCGGGCAGTGTAGAAACTCAGAGTACAGCAGAAGTACAGTGACTCACTTTAATGGTTTTCATTTCAAAGGTGAAGTCAAACCAAAGTAAACCCATACAGAATCTGACTGAGTGAAGGAACATGCAGTGACTGATTAATCGGATGTATGACCACGACTCACTCAAAGCATGTGACACACACACACACAAAGCAGACTGTAACTAACACACACACAAAGCAGACTGTAACTAACACACACACACACACACACACAGGACAGTGGAAACAAGCTCTGCTCATGTTGTTTATGAGAACATAATGATAATACACTGCAGCTGTCCAAAGGCTGCACAGTTGTTGATTGTGATGTTTAATGCCTGTTTCAGATAGCAGATAGTGAAGAGCAGGATATGAGGGCATATAAAAGTAGAGGAGGTATGAAATCAAGAAAGATCAGCAGCTGGGTTTGAGCCAGAGATGCTTTGAATATATGGTCAAACCAAGGTTTAACCCCCGGCCCCTCCCCAAGCTGTCTCTGGACCCTGACTGGAAACCGTCTCTGTTACCTGAGCCGAGGGGAGGGTCATCCTCCGTGGCGGAGAAGTCTAGTGTGGCACCTGCAATGTCCACCATCTCGTCATCATCATCTTCGCTGGGGTGATGAATGCTGTCAAAGCTCCCGCTGCGGAAACCAGCGTTTTCCATCTCTTCTAATCCTGTTTACAACACAGCAAGAGTCCGCTAAAAACACATCCTCTGCCGTTTCATCAGGATCATATCAACAGGGGTGTGAAGTAACGTTCACTAGAGTACTGTACTTAAGTACAATTTAGAGGTACTTGTACGTTTCTTGAGTATTTCCATTTTATGCTACTCTGTACTTCTACTCCACTACAATTCAGAGGTAAATGGTGTACTTTTACTCCATTGAATACCTTTAGAGATTTGGATGAATGATGTGAAATATAATCAAGTGTTAAATCAGACTTTAGTTCCACCTGGAGTAAATTCACAAGCTACCCTGCAGTATACAAAGTCATTCAAACTAGCTGCACCTTTACCAGCTTTGAGAACACTTTAATGATCAATCATTATAAAATATTTCATATTAATCTGAAATGGACCAATCTGCACAATCACTACTTTTGGTACTTTAACTATATTTTGATGCTGATACTTTTGTATTTTTGCACAGCTCCAGTTACAGGGAACTTTTTTCGCAACAATGTCCGCCACTAGTCTTCGTTTTATTAATAGAACAAACTGGAAATATCACATAGAGAAAAGAAGATAACTAGCCTAACGTTAGCTTAAGGCGTCACTGTGGTGACAAAACTGACAAAAATAACCGTTGGTCTTACGTACTTACCTACGTTAATTGTCAACACGCTCGACCCACTTTACATGTATTTTATAAATAAGGAAGGAATAATGGTAGAAAATGGGTTGTTTTTTACCTGAAAAAAGGCAGCTCGGAAGAAGTCTTGTGACTCGGATTTGTCGTCTTCTGAACCACTGATTATGTCAACAGTAGCCAATGTAAACTTGAAGCTTTGCAGAAATCCTGCGTCATCCTCCGACCCAAAAACAGCTTTCAAAAGGTAGTAAATCACGTATGAGAAGCCATAGTTTAATATTATATTGGTAAGGTGCAACAAATAACGAACTAGATGGCAATTGCCCGCAGTACGTGGTGTTTTGCGACTTAAAACTGCAAGGGCTAGCGTCAAGTTAGATTAATAGCTACAACTTCCGGGTAAGGTTAAAGTCTACCTAATTGTTTGGTAGATAATGAATTTAAAGTACAACATATTTGCTGCAACCGATGGCATTTTTCTTCTATAATTGAACAGTTAGATCTTAATTTTATACCTACATGTTTGTCCTCTACGTTACATTAAATCGTTCCTCTTTTCTTCCGAGATGTCACATTGTACGTTTTATGTTGAAGGTCAAATCTCTCCTTTTCCGGTTAGCGGACTCATCACAGCTGCCTTGACATGTTAATCTACACACCAGGAATATTAGTCAAGTCAAGAGCTATCAATGCTTTTCCATATCTGCTCCATATGGGTCGGTGGAGCAGTTCGACTAATCGGCAATCTCTTATATTTTTACTGCAATAAAATACACATGATTTTGTCAAGGGGAGTTAAATAGCATATACAAAAAAATAAATGTGTGGTATTCATATCACAAGAGAATAAATAAGTTATTCAATAGATGTAAATAATTTAAAGGTCCCATGTCATGGCCATTTCTACTGATCATAATTCCATTGTTGAGGTATACTAAAATAAATGTATATTGTGCAATTTTCTAAACTCACATTGGTTTCTCATACAGCATCTCTGTATAGTATGTGTATTCACTCTATGTCCTAAATGGCTTGTTGGAGCTCCTGGTCCAAATGGACTAATCTGCGGAGCCGTTACGTTACGTCACGTCACTATACCCAAGAAGTAAACAATGGAAAAAGAGAAATCTCCAACGAGGCGTTCTGGGGCAGCAGACAGGTCTTTTCTGTGTTAGAGTTTTACTCGCTATAGGGAGCACTTTGAGGGTTTGTGACTCTGCAGACCGTTTACATGCATAACAAGCTACATAACACACAAGGGGACGGCCGGGTAATAACCAGAAAAGCATGACATGGGACCTTTAAAAAAAACATTAGTGTTTTGCTATAATAATGTGGTAGTGATGGACTGCTTCTATAGGATAAAAACAGTTAAATGGCGACACCTCGTGGTCAACTGTAGGCATTGAACCAGGTCACTTTCTGAGGGAAAGTGGAACATGTGGTGGAGAGAAAATCCTGAAGTTAACAGTCAAAATGTGCTGACAACAAGGTGTTATGTTATCCTGGGTGGTTATGACTTTAGCCCTGATTGATCACGTCTTCCCATGACCTCCGCCCCTAAAAAGACTGCAACCACTGCTATTTAGACATATTTATGGCTATTTTACTTGCATCCTTTGGTTACTATAACCCTTTATGAACACACAGTTAGAAATACACTACATTAATACAGTTGTGTACATTGTAAGTGTAAATATGCTTCTCTTTAATGACCCTCCTCACCACATCCCTCCTGCAGAGCTGCTGACTCCACTCTTCATCCATCAGCCCTTAATCTGCCCTCAACTATATTTACTTAACGTCCCATCAAATAAAAAAACACCCCCCTCCCTCAAGAAGGACATTTGGGTCCTAAATCAGCAAAAATAAACCATTATAACCGAGTAGGGTATAAATCACAACAGGAGACTTGAAACATGTTTAAAATACTATTATTATTATTTATGGTACTCGTTCTCACGTGAGCGTTTTTGCAGTTTGAAATGCAGTTTTTAAGAAGAAAAAAAAAAAGGTCCTTAATAAATCAGAATGACATTGAACAGTAGAAATAAACTCTCAACAAGCCACTTTCTTTCCAATCTTGACAAGTAAAAACGTTTCCAGTCGACTTAGAAAATCGCTTTTATAGTACAAGAAAACACAGAATATGTACAAAACAGAACGAACGAGTGGACATCTTCAATTCCGGGATGTTTGGTATTTAAAAAGCAGGAAATATGTGAGAACAAACTGTGGAAGAACAAGTGTAAAACAGTAACTTTAATACAATTTAAACTGCATGTTTGTTAAAGTAGGAAATGATTAAGCGTCTGTTTTTTTTTTACATAACCTCAGTCCACCTTTCAAAAGCCAAAATATACACATTTCCTCCCCTTCCTTCTCTTGTTCAGCTACAGTTTGTGTTTGTTTTTCTTTATTTGATTTACTCAGACAGGCAGTGGTGAAAGCTTTAATGTCTGAGGTTTGGGAAACCGGTTAAATCTCTGGAGACTTTGGCAAACATTTCACAAAAATGGGGAACATTTGATTGAGTTTTGGCACTTTACTTTACAAAAAAATATACATTTTACTCAATTTTCAAAAGAATACTTTGACATCTGTGGAAAAAACACTTATTTTCTTTCTTGCCGAGATTTAGATGAGAACATTGAAACTACTAAACATGTCTTTGTTCAACAAGCTAAAATCGTACTACAATTAGCTTAGCTTAGCATGACATCTCGAAACAGCTTAACTATGAGATTAAAGTCACACATGTTTGATTTGAGGATTTAAAAATAATAAACATTTACAATTATAAGCTCTGGTTTGTTCTCTGTATATTTACTTTATCCCTCCCGCTTCTTAATTATAATTTTTCTACCTAAAATTGCCCTAAAACACTGTCGTCGAGGCAAGCTGTCTCACTGTTTCCAGTCTTTAAGCTAAGCTAAGCTAACACAAGTGCTGGCTGTAGCGTTATATCTAACACACAGACATGAACTTCTAATCTAACTCTCAACAAGAATAGGAATATGTGTTATTAATACTGTTTTAAGTGAATATTCAATGTAGGATTTCAATGTAAACTGGGACTAGCTAGGGGCAATACACTTTACCAAATAATATTTGAACAAGCTAACGACAGAACTAACGGAACTAATCAAGCTCTTCCCGGTCAAAATATACAGTAATCTCTTCCCGGTCTTCTCGCCCATCTTTTACAACCAATTTTTACAGGCATTTCCAGTCATTTAAAAAACAAAATCACTATATACACATCGTTTACATTATAAACACAAGTGTCTCCTGTACATGAACAGTCATCGCGGGACAGTATAACGCGTCGGTGGAGTCTCAAACTCCACAGCTAAAATACAAAGTGATATGATACTATGGTCGATAATACAGAGTACGTATTGGCAGTTAATAATGCTGCAGCTCACACAACAGTCTCCGTGAATTCTCTGAACCAGGAGATTTAAATAGAAAAATGAAAACACCAGAACAAAAAGCAGCGTCGGAGGAAATGTCTTTGGCAACGTAGTGTTAGAACGAGTTTCATTACAGTACATCAAGTGAAGCAGAGTCCAGTCTGTTATCTTGTAAAGAACTTTCAGAGTGTGTTTTAGCTGTGGTTTTGGTCCTTCTGGAAAGCTTTTAATCCTTAAAGGAATAGTCTGACATTTTGGATTGCTAAATATGAAGCGACAGCGAGAACGCCGTTAGCTTAGCTTAGCATAAAGACTCCATGAAGTCACAGCTAAGACTTATTCTTGCACACAATCTCCCCGTAAAATATAACACATTAAACGGTGAGATTTGGCAGACATGAGTGATGTATTTCTCAAAAATGCTAAACTATTCCTTTAAAACAGAGACACCGTTTTTGTTTTTTCTGTCAGTATAGTCCGTATCCCATGGACATCCCCATGCCGATGCCCATCCCCAGCCCCAGGCTCTCCCTCAGCCCCCGCAGCTGCTCCTCCCCCAGCCGAGTCTTGTCCTCCAGCTGCCTCTGCTCCACCAGCAGCGCCGCCTTCATCTTCACAAAGTGACTGAGAGGGGAAAACACACATATATGTTAAAAATTGTTGGGGAAAATACTGAATGTCCTCGTCCAATATCAGAGTCCACATGGTAACAAAGGTATCCCAACTGTAGCTGTGTACATGACAGGATGTGTGATTACCTAGAAGAGCATCAGGACTGTTTGAGGCATATGATAGCTATGTGATTAACATGATGATTCAGCCTCTATGGAGAGAGACATATGACAAGCATGATCATTTCTGACGTGGAGCTAATCTGAAGTAAACATTGAATACTGCTTTCTATTCCTCCATCTTGTGACTGTGGAACTCCCTCTCTTGGATATCAGCATGTGAAGGACACTGTTCAGGAACTAGTTGATGCTCTGTATGTGATGACTACTTCCATTCTGGAGAGGATCACAGATACATGGATCCTGAGATTGAAGTTCAAGCCGGGGACGAGTGATTATTAACATTTTTTTTATTAAAAAGTATTCAGAAAAATTCAGAATTTTGAGAAAAAGTCAGAATTTTGAGAAAAAGTCAAAAAAAATTTAATGTTGAGAAAAAGTCAAAAAATTTAAATGTTGAGAAAAAGTCAGAATATTTAGAAAGTCAGGATTTGGAGATTTTGAGACAAAATTTGAATTTTTAGAGAAAATCTGAATTTTTAGATTTTTAGACAAAATCAGAAATTTTAGATTTTGAGACAAAATCTGAATTTTGAGAAAATGTCAGCATTTTGAGAAAAAGTCAACATTTTGAGATTTAGAGAAAATTACCTACAAGACTCCTGCATCTTTGTAAGCCCCTCTCTTGTATATCAGCATGTGAAGGACACTGTTCAGGAACTAGTTGTACCAAATACTCTGTGTGTGATGACTACTTCCATTCTTGAGAGGATCATAAATACATGGATCCTGAGATTGAAGCTCAAGCCGGTGACGAGTGATATAAACTATAAACTCAATGTGGGTCATGCAAGGACAAAGCAGGGAAATATTTGACTGTTGAATTGTAAACATTTTGCACTTAAGACGAGATTTATTCCATATTTTTTTCCATTCTATTTCTATGTAAATACTGCTATATGTTACTATATTTAAAGTCAAATTCCTTGTACGTGTAAACCTGGTAATAAACCCGATTCTGATATTGCTTATGGTATGATTTGTCTTAACACAAAGCATACGTTAACATACGGTTTCATCCCACAGGCCATAAGACTGCTTAACACCTGAGCTCTGCAATAAACCGTATTTAAATATGTCTTAATGTACGTTATTTAATTTCATATTCTGTTCTTCTACATATCATATTCTATTGACATAATAGACTTTTTGCACTACTTTGTGTTCCATTATATATGTTGCCTTGTTGGAGGAGCTCAGGTCAGGAGATTTTCATTGCCATTTCTACACTGTAGCTTATGTGACAAGAAAACATTTGAATTTTGAATTTGAATGTACCTGTAGTCGCGGTGCTGCTCGGGGGTCAGGCAGCGGGCCAGCACCCGGCTGACGGCCTGCTCTCTGCGGTCCACGTGGTCCTTCAGGTCCTGAGCCTCCGACAGCTGACGCAGGAGCTGCCGCTTCTTCTCCAGCAGGGGGAGCTGCAGGACAGAGTACAGGTGTTACATTTTGCACATTGAAATACATTCTTTCTTTACACAAATATCATTTTCATTTGTTCTAGCTGATCCTGTGACATCTCACATTAATTTCCTGATATTATTTATACTTTCTAGTCTCCATCTTTCTTAATTTTTGTTTTTGTTAGTTTTAAACCCCTTTCTTCAACCAGGCCGAAGCTTTTGGTGGAAATGTAATGCTACCTTTTCACCTCCCTATAGATACAATTAAAAGCCATTTTCTTTCTCTTTCTCTAACCGCTGTAGCACTTTAAAAGACGATTAGATAAACCCACATAGTGAAGCACATATCAAAATAACAGAATTAAGTAACAACCATAAAGACGTCTTCCTCTCCCACAGTCTCTGATTAAGTGGCTTTGTTTTAGTTTGTGCATACTATACTTGTACCACTTAAAATAGCCGTTCTTTGTGCTTTTTAAACGCTGTGTTCAACCACAGTGAATGACACGTACACCCCCCTCTCCCTGTGTTGTGCTCACCCTCTCGTGGTGCTCCGTGTCGGGGTCCAAAGTGTCCAAAGTGCTCTCCACCCTCAGCAGACGTCCGGACAGCGACAGCAGAAGACTCACCACTTTATCCAGGTCTCCGATGAACATGCGGAACTTATCCACCTCGTTGGGTTTACACACCAGCACCACCATGCTCTCCACCTGAACACACACACACACACACACACACACACACACACACACACACACACACACACACACACACACACACACACACACACACACACACAGACACACAGAGATTAATAAAATCCCAGATCAAATGCACGCTGAAGGCCCTTTATGAGCCTGTTCTCTCTCACTGATTGTGCTGTTATGTTAAATGTTTGTTGTTTGTTTTTCATGTATAGGTCTTGATGTTTGTCTGTTGATGTTACATTTCATTTAGCTAACGCTTTTTTATCCATAACAACTTACAATTACCAATTACAGGGACATTCTCCCTGGAGTAACTAAGGGCTAAGTGCCTTACTCAAGGTGTTCCTGGCGGGATTTGAACTCACAACCTTCCGATCTTCAACCTACCTCACTATCCATTAGGCCACCACTATCCTACAGATCACCACTACCCTTACACATGGAGCTGCTGTGATGCAAGTCAAATTTCAGACTTGATCTGACCATTAAAGTATTATCGTATCGTAATAAACAACTTCATTTATATAGCACCTTTCATGCTTGACGCAGCCCAAAGTGCTTTACAGAGTATGACAAAAAAATCACAATAACAAATGAGGAACATCATTAAAATATCTAAAAACAAGAAACAAGAACAGTGATACTACAAAAAATGATAAGCCAAATTAAAAAGATAGGTCTTTAATTTACTTTTAAAAATTCCAATTGAGNCGTGCGTGCGTGCGTGCGTGCGTGTGTGTGTGTGTGTGTGTGTGTGTCAGTACTCATAACACATCCAGTATCTAGGCCATCCCGAGCAGTTGTGTTAAATCACCGGTATATTTAACACAACTGCTCGGGATGGCCTAGATACTGGATGTGTTATGAGTACTGACACACACACACACACACACACACACGCACGCACGCACGCACGCACGCACGCACGCACGCACGCACGCACGCACGCACGCACGCACGCAGGCAGGCAGGCAGGCACGCACGCACGCACGCACACACACACACACACACACACACACACACACACACACACACAGAATCTGACAGTAAGCATAACGTTGATCCCAGGCCAGAGAGAGACGAAGCATCTGATGCTCCTGCTGTGGGTGGACCTTATGGACCTGACACACCAAACAATAAAAGTGCTGACAAAACCCTCTGATGCGTCGCCTCACATCACATCACCTCAACTCTTCTAAGCAGCACTAAAACCCACGACGAAGACTACAGCAAACATCTTGTCATCATGCATGCACATATACGTGACAGGAAGTTACACAGATATCCCAACACGCCATTGTACCATGAATAAATCCCCTTGTAAGGGATATACTGTATGTTCTTATATTAGTGAAGTCCAACAGTTAATGTATTTGTAATAGTTAGTTAATTAAGTGGACTTCAATAAGGTTATGTTCATAGTTGTTGGTAATACCTTTTTAATTGGCTTTTAATTGAATTTATAATTTGTTCTTGTTTTATTCAGCCCTGTGTTGGTATTAAGTTATCTTTTTAATCACAAAGCTATGTGTTACTCTTGTTATTACCTGGAAAGGGTATGTTTTTGGTTTTGTGAAGCACTTTGTGTTCCTTTTTGTACAAAAAGTGCTTTAAAAATAAAGTTTTATTTGATTTGATGTTATGTATTTAAGTGCCAGAAATACAGGTGCAGATATTTTCTTTATTAACGTCATGTGATATTGTCATGACACACACTTTAGAGTGCATAAGTAATAAAGTGAAGATTAAAATAAAACCAGATTAAAAAAAAGTCTGCTGTGATCAATTATAAATCCTTCAAATAAACTCTGAGGGTATGACTTGGTTTATTACACAGGAAAGATGGATTTATGAAATGGATCTCAAGTCAAATCTGAGACAATCCTTTGCAGACTAAGTGGGATCCGAATCGAGAATGTGTCTGAAGAAAAGTTGGCTCTGTCACTGTAAAACTTTTTTGCTTTTGCACTGCTGTTGTATACTGCCAGCGGAAGAAGTGGAAGGCACGCAGAGAGAAAAAGACTCGGGAGAAACCTCTCTAAATGGATGAAACCACTGATTCACGGGGCTGAGCAGCCAGTCAGACAGCTCTTTCTCGGCAACTGCCTCCGATGTAACATGCTGAATCGGCTTAACGGCTGCTGATAAGGTCTATTAAAACCAACGGTGCTGGACATGCCGCTAAAACCGCAGCTGCTCAAAGACAGCGGCTGACAGTCCAACGTCAGCCTGGAGCCTGAGGGGGAAATAACCAGGAGCCTGGTATGAATCCAGAATAGGTTCATACCTCTCGTGCATCTTCTTACCGCCCTGTGGTGAGTAATGTCAAGGCAGCAACAAACAAGGAGCTGTACGTGATGCACAGCAGGGTGTCTTTCGCCTGCTATGTGGTGCTGTTTCTGCCTCTTCCTTTCTGTGTTTTCTAATCCTCCTGCCTTCCTCCCTCTCCCTTTCCTTTAAGGGATGCGTAGAGGCGCTGTTAGTTCATTTATCATACAGCCGGCTCCAGCTCTCAGCCCCAGACTCAGTGATTAATGACGACCGTTCACACACTTAAACATTTAGCTTTGTTTCGCTGACACTCTAGTTACCATACCGGTCACCACGGCTTACTTAACTCTGGGTCACACTGGGGCTGAAACCATATTCAATGACGACACACATTTGTTCCCGCTTCCATATATTCCCTGTGACCTTTAAAGGCTGTATTTTTTTCCTCTATGTAAGAATGTAGATATGTCATTTATCACAGGAAGGACATTACCATATCCACACATTCCCAGCCAATTGGGAAAGTGCCATGTGGCGCTTCTGTACATCGCTTTAAGATATAGATACAGGGTTAATTAAAAATCTTCCACTGATGTTTTATCTAATTAAAATAGGGATGTGACTGGTTCAAAGCATGAAGGGTGCCATACTTGTCTTTCCTATAGATTATCTGTAAAATATCCATCCTTTTTATCACAAATATTACATTACATTTTACTTAAAGGTGGGGTAGGTAAGTTTCAGAAATTGGCTCGAGATAAACTTTTTGTTATATTCCATGGAATGCTCTTAACATCCCGATAGCAATGAATATCTTAAGTGCTTTGACAAAAAATCTATAAAAAAATGTCATCTGTGGAACCCGTAATACTGTAAAAACTACTAAACGGATTGGATTGCCGCCCTTTCTGTCAGCCTTCCATCTCGTGCACGCACAAATGTATCTCGTGCCCTCATTGTGCGTGCCGTCATTGGGCGTGCATTGCAGCAGTACTTCAATGACTCGCCAGCAACAGGCGGCCACTTTCACCATGGCAGAGTTAGGCTCAACATCGTCGACTGGTCGCAAAAGAAAAAATGTAACAGAGCAAATTAAGAACAGATACTTTACCATTAAAGCCCAATGTGACATATATGTCACATTTCAGATATTTCACACTAGGGAGGTTACTTGTCAGAAATGTGTTCTAGGTGGTCTATTTAGTCTAAATGACGTTCCCCTTAATTTCCCCAAAAGTAGATGGGTCCGGGTTCTTATGGGTAACGTATAGGCTTAAAGGCATAATAGAACTACCGTATTATATGTATTCAACTTGCGCCCCGCTGGACTTACTTTTCTGTGGGGGAAAAAAAAAAAAAAACGTCCCTTCTTAGGGCAACTTCCCACTGCCTCCTCCTCTCTCTGGTTTTGGGAAACCTTAAAAACATGAGAAAGGTAGCCAGATATATAAATTATTGTCAACATTGTCCTCCCTTCTTTCCTTTAACATTAAGGGTAAGGACAAAAATACACACCGAAATTATCCTATTTTTGGGGTAATTGTATGTATGTATGTATTTAAGAATAAGACAACCACACTAAGAGTTATAAAAAAGGTGTCCAAAAGAAACATTAAATAATTGTGTAAAGAAATGGTAGCAACATATTCTAAAGAGGCTGGGTCAACATCAATCTTGCAATACTATTATCTCACATAGCCCCACTGATCCTGTGTAGCAGGACTTGTAATGTACATACATCCACTAAGTAATTAACGATTATCCTAATTATAGTCATAATATTGTCATATCTTACACGTGAAAGGTGATTCCACAGGTTCTTGTTTGCAGACTGCGGCGATTAGAGCATCCGTAGGCTGCACAAAAGTCCGGCATAGTCAGGTACTTCTGTAAACACAAAGCCAGCAATTTCCTGTATCATAATGTATCTAAAATGTAAGATGTTTTTAACAAGCCAAACCACTTGGAAGAAATCATGTGTAACTTAAGTTATGTTGAAAAGAAAGAGCAGTTCTGCCTCTCCCACTGGTGTAAAGTTGTTGGGTCAACTTTGTAATACTAGGTCTCACTCACAGCCTCTTGTTATTAGCCAGCTAATAAATACAACCACGGCACATACACAAAGAAAAGTTGCAATTTCAACATGTCCAAGCATCCTGTATCATAGCCATGCTAATAATGTTTATAATAAACCAAACCGTTTGTAAATCAGTCAAGATTTCAGCGATTTAAGAGTATTTTTGTGCAGATCACTCACCTTACAACAGCTACCATAGCGCGTACCAGAGTAGCTGTTGACTGAAGCAAGATGGCTGCCGGTTAGCTACGCTGGAAAATCTCCCATGAGCCATATAGTGTTTATATATATCTATGCTTAAAACTGCCGCGACGTCATCTTCAATGCGACACAACTCACACAACAATGGAGGATGTGGGTGCGATCGTTTGCTTGTTTCTTGGGCCCTTTCTCATTTCTCCAACTCCCCTCCTCGACTCCACTCCTTGACTCCTATCCTCGAGACTTAGTCCCGCCCACAGGAGATGCGAGCGGAGGAGCCGAGGAGGGGAACCGAGGAGAGAGGAGGGGAAGCAGCAGGCGGTTAGAGAGGATTTTAAAAGAGATCCCAAATGCATAATTCCAGGTTTGTTTTTTATTTATTTCTCCATAGGATTTTAGAAAATAGCTCGAAATAAGGTCTGTGGTTGACACACATTTAACAGACTGGTCAAGTTTTGTTCAGTCAGGGTTTTAGGATGCGTCACTGTGCCACTCTATGAGCTGATTGTAATCTGTTGCAAAACTCAAACAATATGCAGGAATGTGAGTCTGTTTCGAAGGCATTTTTCTTTTAGTTTGGTTTGTGATATAAACAGAACAGAATAAAACTGAAAACATTGTACATTTTCTCTATATTAATAAGTCATTGGTTCTTCTTTTAGACCAGAACAGACTGATAACTCAACATGAACTATCAAAAACATCACAACATTTAGTTAACCAAACAGATTATTAGAGAAACTACTCTGCAGATTAATCAGTCAGTGGTTATAGTAAAAAATCAGAAAAGTAGTATGACAAAAACATTATACATATTCAAAACTTCTGTTGATAAATATGGAGTTTTGATGAAGTCATGTATGAATATTGTTTACACAGCCAGACAGGTTTTTTCTCATGTGAATTGTCGAAGGACTAATTAATTGTCCGTTTTATGTTGCACATGCAGATTTGACTTGGACCAAAAATGTCTTATCACACTCAGAGAAGGTTACTTACCCAAATAGTTTAAACCTAATAATAATCACTGTCTTAATTATAAGGTTCAGAAGGGTCCTCAGGGTTGTCCTCAGTCTCTGATTGTAAATGTCTCTCTGGATCTGAGTTCCTGGCTGGTTGTGGTCCTCCACAGTCCTCTCCATCAGCTTCTGTTTCCATGTGTGCAGCTGAGCTGCTGGCTGGAGACTCTGCCTCTCTGTTCTCCTCAGTTTGAGTTTGATGAAGCTGTGAGGACTGACGACCAACACACTTATGGCTTTTGACCTGATGACTCCAGGTGTATCTTTTGTCGCAAACACTGCAGCTTCTCTCCTGTGTGGATTCTCATGTGTTTCTTTACATTTCCGTACCCTACAAAATATTTCTTACAGACTGAGAAGCTAGACGGTTTCTCTCCCGTATGGATTCTCATGTGGTACTTCAAACTTCCATTTTGGGTAAAAGATTTCATACAGACTGAGCAGCTGAATGGTTTATCCCCGGTGTGTATTCTCATGTGTCGAAGTAAATATACTTTCAGTGCAAAAGCTTTCTTACAGACTGAGCATCTGAGTGGTTTCTCTGCTGTGTGTATTCTCATGTGTCGATGTAAAGATCCTTTCAGTGCAAAAGCTTTCTCACAGACTGAGCAGCTAAATGGTTCCTCTCCTGTATGGATTTTCATGTGGGCCTTTAAATTTCTACTTCGTGTAAAAGATTTCTCACAGACTGAGCAGCTGAAAGGTTCCTCTGCTGTATGGACGTACATGTGTCGATTTAAAGATCCTTTCAGTGCAAAAGCTTTCTCACAGACTGAGCAGCTGAATGGTTTCCCTCCTGTATGGATTTTCATGTGGGCCTTTAAGACTGCCAAGGCACAC